GCCAGTGTGGCTCAGTTGGTTGGAGCATCATCCCACACACCAGAAGGTGGTGGGCTCAATTTCTGGTCAGGGCACATACCCAGGTTGTGGGGTTGAATCCCTGGTCGGGGCACATACAGGAGGCAACTGATCAATCTTTCTCTCTCATATTGATGTTTCTCTCTCTCAAGTCAATAATAAATAAATAGAATGGAAGATGCAACACATTTTTATACTAAAAATAACTAGTATTATATATGAAATGTTCATATATGTGTATGTGTGTGTGTGTATATATAACATATATATATTTAAATCTTTCTAAAATCCTGCCCAGTTTGTAGATAGGAGACTGAGGCACTGAACAGTAAAGTGATCTGCCTGAGGATGCAATACTATCAAGTAGCAAAAGTGGAAATATAGCTGGTAAGAGATAGCCAGAGCCTGTGTGCTTTCAACCAGACACTATTCTCTAACTTTTCCCCAGCACGAATAGTGTTTCTGTGGAAATGGATACTGTGTACGTACGTTGAAATGGTCAGTTGAATCTCATGATGAAGAAGGGAAAGTCTATCTGCTCACGTTCTTCCAGGTCAAACCCAGAAGACAAGCCCAGTTAGATATCAAGGTCAGATAAGTAGCAAAGGTCTGAAAACCCCAAGAAACATGCCAGTATGCCTTGGCCAGTGGGGAAAGATGCTGAACTTCAGACAAAACTCTCAGCCTTACACTGGCAGTGGCAGCTCTCAGGTGGCTCGAAGGGGATAAAGAAGCTCAATTTCAATACTTGAACTTGTTTTAAGAATTACATAATGCAATAAAAATAAGAAAATAAAAATAAATAATAAAAAGACCAGTAAGACTACCCACTGAAGTTTCTAACACACAGAAACACAAACTGTTTTACAAAGATGGGAATATTCTCTGCTTTTTTACTTTTCTCACCAAACATGTTTTGAACATGTTTCTAAATCAAATCTCAGCCTGGCCTGGCATGGCTCAGAGGTTGAGCATCGACCTAGGATCCAGGAGATCACAGTTCGATTCCTGGTCAGGGCACATGCCCAGGTCTCGGGCTCAATCCCCAGTTGGGAGTGTGCAGGAGGCGGCCAATCAGTGACTCTCTCATCATTGATGTTTCTCTCTCTCTTTCCCTCTCCCTTCCCTCCCCTCTCTGAAATCAATAAAGATACATATTTTTAAAAAAGAATAACCTACAAATCAAATCCCAGAGAAGTCTGCATTTTTGCTCTGTGGTACGTGACCAAGAAGCATGAAGCTGTAGGTTCTTTGGCCACCAGAGAGCTGCCAGCAGTAATTGGCCAACAAGAATGAAAGCCTAGATGCCAATTCTGGCTGTAAGATTACGGGTCTTAGCAAAGGGAAAATACATAGGAACAGAAAAGGTTTTAGATAGTGGAGAAAAAATGGGGTTTCAGAGGAGTTTGGAGGCTATGAAGCAAGAGAAAGGAGAAGAAAAAATAGCTTTTAAGAAATGAGTGTGAATTGGCTCTCTTTTAAAAAATTTTTAGAGACACAAGTAATGACTGGAATTGCATTTTAATTTCTTTTGGTTGTTGGATTTTGATTTTATTAACATTTTTAGATTCACCACAAGAGATCCCTGAACAAATTTATAGTCATTTTTATACATATTTATTTTTTCCTAATTGGGGTTTGCTGAGCTTCTTAGATCTGTGGTTTGATGTATTTCATCAATTTATAAAGTTCTTGGACATTATCAACTCAAATTTCCTGCCCTATTTTCTCTCTACTCTCCTTCTGGGACTCCAAATACACTGTTAGATCATTTGACATTGTTTGACAGATACTGGATGCTCTGTTCCACTCCCCTTGCTCTTTTTTTTCTCTTTGTCCTTCAGTTCAGAAACTTTCTGTTGACCTATCTTCAAGTTCACTGAACTTTTCTTCATTGGTATCTAGTATCTAGTCTGCTAGTAAGCCAATCTAATACATTCTTCATTTCTGATATAGTATTTTCCATGTGTTTCTTTTGATAGTTTTCATGTCTCTGATAAAATTCCTCATTTCTTCATGCACAGCCTCCTTTTCTTCCATATTCTTTGACATTTTTATTAGTTATTTAAATTCATTGGTTAATTTCAACATCTGGGTCTGCTTCTATTAACTATTTCCTTTCCTGACCACAGATCAAATTTTCTTGCTTCTTCATATTTTGTAATTTATCATATGCCACAAATTTGGTATGAAAGAACAGTAAAAACTGAGGTAAATAATATTTACCTCTAGGAAGAGCACACCCTTTCTTTTGTTAGGCTACTAGAGAAGGGACCTAAGTCAATTTGATATGTACTGACCTGGGTCTGGGTCTTATTGCATTTTTAGTTTGATTTTGTTCATCACTAAATTAAAATATTTTGAGGGTGAGTATGAACTTCGGTAGAGACTTTGGGCAAAGCACTGACAAGATTCTGGTAGTCTCTCTGTGTTTTTATAGCTGAGCCACAAGCTTTCTGAATCACGAAACTATCTTTCCCTGCTTTACAAGCTCGCTACCAGTTTTTTGGATTGTTAAGGAGTTCTCTTAGCTCTCCAGTCCCCTTGGCTCTGTCTACATAAAGAGATCCTTCTCTGTCTTGCTGCCTTACCCCCAGCCTTAAGACGGTAGCTACTTATACTTTGTAAATACCTGAGCCTGCTCTCAGCTCTTCTGCTCCAATCCAGGTGATAGTTGAGTGTCAAGTGCCTTAAGTGGGATAGTTCTCAACTTTCGTGCCTGGCCCTTAGCCTTTGCAAAGACATATGGGATAAAGTTGATAGGTAGTTGCTGACTCATCCCACAAAGCCTATGACAGTTCTTTTAAAGGTCAGCTGAGTTCTACTTATCCTGACTATAATGGATTCCTCTTCCTTCTGCTGCTCCACCAGAAATTAGAGCAGAATCCTATGAAGAGCCCTACATTTTCCAGAACTGAGTTCTTTCAGCTTTCTTTGGATCTTCAGCTCACTAATGGTTTTATTTTTAAACTACTATTTTGTTGCTTATTCAGACTTTTTTGGCTGTTAGGGTGACAGCAATGATTTCTTTTGACTTTCTATATCCCTAATTGGGAGTGGAAAACCATGGTCATTTTTATTTCTTATTTTGTGAATATCTAATTCCTGCTGTCCCCCAGTTCTCACTGCTGTATTTTTCTTATTGATTTGTAAGAGCTCTCTATAATGTAGCGGGTATAAAAATGCTCAGCTACATTTTGGTACATATCATCTTACTTTATTACTTCTAAATAAAATTAAATCTGGCTCTGAGCCTTCACTCTTCCAGATAGATGAGAAGTCCACTAATAGACACTAAAAGGGCTTCCTTCCACTTCTTCATGATATCACCTAAGAATACCAAGCTCATGGAAAGTCAGAAAACCAGGAAAGGGCTTAAGCCCATGGTGATTACCACTGTTCCTTCTTCAGCTGCATGTCACTAGTGAACTGAAGATGTTGCAATTAAAGATGTTCTCTTGAGTGGTTCCTCTCCATTGACTCCAGAGACGCTTGCGATGTTCTCAAAACTGCAATGCTATGTCTGGACTCCATGTGTGACCTACGGCTTCCTCACCATTAGGGCACTGCATACAAGGGGGGTGTGGGCCTCATACACTTTCAGAAACTCCTCAACTACTTATCTCTCTTTATCTGGGGTTAAACTTTATCATTCTTATTACATATTAATGTTGTAATTTTTTGCATTTTTCACGTTTTTCCCATAATTAGACTAGCCATGGGTGGTTGATGATGATGACTAGGTGTTTCCAAAAAACAGAAAGTTCAGGTTTATTTTTCTTTTATATTCCTATTTGATTAGAAATGTTTAAACAGAATGGATGTTCAGTTTTATCAAATGCCTTTTTGGCAGCTATGAAGTCATAAATAGCTCCAAGGAGAAAAATTAGTGTACAGTGATTACATTAATAGATTTCCTGATATTAAATACTGAACCTTAACACCTTACTGACCAGCTGTTTCAAGCCAGAACCCGCCTATGTGGCTGGCTACTTTGGTCAGCAAGGTGTTTAAAATTACTTAAATTAACGTAAGTGCAGACATGAGTTATCTTGTGATGGGTTAGCAACATCAGTTCGGACACAGCAACACATATATACTCGTGACCAGTCAGCAAGGTTAATAAACCCTACTTCATCAAAGCATATGCTTTTAACATGATACCGGGTTCCCTTTGCTAATATTTTTCTTAAAATACAGGCATTAATATTTTTGATAGTGGTGTTTGGGGGGGCCTGATATTATAGCTAATTTCATTTAAAGACTACAAGCTGTTCTTTTTCCATGCATTATCTATCCATGACCACCGAGAGACACTACTGAGCTGTTTAACCAAAGTAGCTATTCCTTAGTTTTGTTTGTTGCTCCCCCACTGCAAATTGCTCTTTCCACCCTGAATTTTTCCTTCAAAGTTCAGATGAAAAATTAATGCTGATTCTCTAATCCAGGAGTTGGTAAATTATGGTCTGTGGGCAGGCTACATATTTTTATAAATAAAGTTTCCTTACAACACAGACACATCCATTTGTTTAAGCATTGTCTGCAGCTGCTCTCAGGGCACACAAAGCCTAAAACATTACTATCTAGTCTTTTACAGAAAAAGTTGCTGACTTGTGCTTTAATCCTTGATTCCTTTAAGCCATACCCCATCTTTTTTATCTTTTCATGCCAGAGAAAGAATGGAAAAAGTCACCCTCTGCATTGTTTTTCTAAAGTCCAGCCCAACAGAAAGAATGTCTTTAGATGAAAACCTAAACCTTGGACCAGTCCGGCGGCCTTGGTCTCACCTAAGGTGAAGTTTCCTCAGTGTACAAGAGGTATCACTTTTCCAGGTCCCCTTCTACCCTCAAGAAGCTTAAGAGACTGCTCAATCCTTTGACTAAAGTAAACTAAAATATATCCTGCATTTCTTCAAGTTAAACACAATTAGATAAGTGAGCTGGTTGTAATATTTGTAAGTAAAGTACAGTTTGGCTCCTTACTTCTGAAAGCAAACTCTCCAGAGACATAGGATCCATTTTGCTGTAGACATTCCATAGATTCAGACTCACATCCTGCAACTGCAACACAAGAGCAAAAAATTAAAATCATAGAGAGTTAATATCATTAGGACATTCAGGAATAAACTATCTTTGTGAAAACTCAAGTGATTAGAATAATAAATGAAATTTTATCAATTACATTAGAACCTATACATATTAATAAATGCTATCCCATTCAAGGAAGCTATCTTCTCAGAAGCTTTAGCACATTTTTTGAATATCTTCAATGATGGGCATATACATATATATTTATATACATACAAATGTACATACATATACTTTTTTGCCTTTAAAATAAAATTTTAATTAAAGTAATATATGCCCCTGGTTTTAAAAAAATAAAATAGTACTAAAGGCTTGTAATAAAAAAATTATATTCCCTACTGCAACCTTTCACAAACCTCCACTAGTCTCACTCCTCAGGGGTAACCATTTAAAAGTCTTTTAACATTTTCTTCTAGTAGTTACCTCTATATTTTGTTACGATATTCTTATATCACTATTTCTTGATTTATCAACTTAGAAATTAAATATTGACTTATGGCAAAGATGTAGCTCTTCTACAACAAGCCCATTCCCACACTTTTTCTCTATACACACACCCTAACACCATCTAATACCATAATATGATTTTTGGTTGTACCAGTAATTATTGTTTATAATATTAAGACCATATATATCTTATTTCTTGCAGGCCAAGTACATACTATACTACCATTTGATTTTTAAAACAAAAATTTTGCTTTTCCTAGAGCTACCAACAGCTTCACGTTTTTTGCTTGTGTAATCAAAAAAAATTCCGATCCTAAGTTTTTTCCTAGCTGCCCCATCCAATTTGCTAGTATGCTTACATACTAGGGTTTCTCAACAGTAACTCTATTGTCATTTTGGGCCAGATATTTCCTGTCAGCCTGTGCACTGTAGGGCGCTTAGCAGCAGCACCACCCCTAGCCCTGCATAGGCAAACCAAAAGTATTTTCTAACATTGCTAAATGTCTTGGGGCTGGGGGAGGGAGGGCAGCAAAGTCCTCCTGATTGAGAACTGTGGCTTAAACACATCAGATAATCTATCAATCCTTTTTCTTCTTGCTTCGTCTGATCTGTTTTGGAAGCTTCTGTGCAATGACTTTCACTTTGAGACTTCTCTTTGCTATCATCCCGGAGCTCTTAGATGATAGATCTGGTTCCATGGCTTTCCTGCCTCCTCTTTCTCAGTTAACTCCCTTGTTTGCTGGAACACATCCTCCAATAGCTTTCTAAGAAAGGGTTAATGAGAGGCAAAAATTTTGAGTTTTAAAATGTCTTTATTCTGCCTGGCCGGCGTGGCTCAGTGGTTGAGCATTGACCTATGATCCAAGAGATCGCAGTTCAATTCCCAGTCAGGGCACATGGCCAGGTTGTGGACTTGATCCCCAGTAGGGGATGTGCAGGAGGCAGCCCATCAATGACTCTCTCATCATTGATGTTTCTGTCTCTCTCTCTCCTTTTCCCTTCCTCTCTCTAAAATCAATAAAGATATATATAGATATTTAAAGGTCTTTATTCTGTACTCTATCTGATTTATCAATCACTGATGCTCTCTGCATTCCCTTAGATTTTTTAGCCTGTTTATGCTTCTTCTTGGATACTTTCTACTGCTATGGTTTCAAATTTACCAATCTTTTCACTTGCAGTGTCTAATCTGCTATTAATCCCATCCAGCATATTTTTCATTTTAGACACTGCAGTTTTCCTCTCTAGCCGTTCAATTTGGGTCTTAACATTTTTCTGTCTCTGTAACATGTTCAGTCTTTCCTCTAGCTTCTAGAACATATGAAATACAGCTAGAATAACTGTTTTAATGTCCTTGTCTGCTACTTCTAATATTTCTGTCAATTCTAGGTCAATTTTGACTGACTGATTACCTCATTACAGTCATGTTTTCCTGCTTCTTTGTAAACTTGATAACCTTTAGATGCCAGACATTGTGACTTTTACCTTGTTGGGTGCTAGGTATTTTGTTGTAGTTGTTAATCCTCAGCCAAGGGTATTTCCCCCCCCCCCACTGATATTTAAAGAGAATGGAAGGGAGGGAGGGAGGAGGGAGAGCGAGAGAGACACATTGATTGTTTGCCTCCCGCACACACCCTGACAAGGGTTGGGGGATCAAACCTTCAACCCAGGTTTGTGCCCTGGGCTGGGACTCAAATACATGACCATTCAGTGTGTGGGACAATGCTCTAATCACTGAGCAACTCCAGTCAGGGCATGGGTACTAGGTGTTTTTGTATTCCTATAAATATCAGTGAGCTTTCTTCTCAGATGCTGTTACTTTCAAAGAGTTTGATGCTTTCAGGTTTTGTTTTTATGATTTGTTCAGAGGGTCTAGAGCACTGCTCAGTCTGGGGTTGACTGTTCCGCATTATCAAGGCAAAATACTCCTGAGGACTCTACCCAGTGCCCTGTGAATTATGTTTTTTTTCAGCCTAACTGGTGGGAACAAGCACTCCCAGCTCTCAGCATGAATCAGGCACTGTTCTCAAATACTTTCATATGGTTTTTTCCTTCCACTGCCGGTAGTTACCTCATGCATAAATGCAGTGATCAGTACTCTGTTGAATATTTGGAATGGGTGGGGAGCAGGGGAATCTTGGTATACCTTCAAAGTTCTGTCTCTGGGCAATTAGTTTCCTTGGTCTCACTAGACTCTCAACTCAGGAAGTACAATGGGATCCACCTGGGTACCTACTAACTCTGCCACAGCCTAGAAATTTTCTCAGAGTAGTAAGCCAGGGCAATCATAGGACTCACTTTATTTCTATCTTTCAGGGAATCACTATTCCTCATTGCCTTATGTCTAGTATCTTCACATATTTTATTTGGTGTATGTTTGGTTTTTTGTTTATTTTGTTTGAGGAGGGAGAAAAATCTAGTTCCTGTTGTCTTATTGTGTAGGTGATTTATGTTTGTCTTCCCGGAAGCATTTTATGACATTCTTTCATCTTTAGTGTTCAAAAAAGGCATATAGATCTACATTTCTTCCTCTCGTTCACAGTAGCTAAGTGATTTATTTATTTATTGATTTCAGAGAGAGAGAGGAAGGGAGAGAGAGAGAGAGACATCGATGTGAAAGAGAAACATCCATTGGCTGCCTCCCATACGCACCCCGACCCTCACCAGGGACGGAACCCGCAACCCTGGAATGTGCCCTGGCAGGAATCAAACCAGCGACCCTTTGGTGCACAGGATGGTGCTCAACCAACTGAGCCACACAGCCAGGGTCTAAGTGATTTAATTTAAAAGCATTTATTTCTTACCCTGGCCAGTTTGTTTCAATGGTTAGAGAGTTGGTCTGTACACCAAAGGGTTGCAGGTTCAATTTCCGGTCAAGGGCATGTACCTGGTTGCAGGTTCGATCCCCAGCCCTGGTTGGGGTGTGAGTAGGAGGCAACCAATTGATGTGTCTCTCTCATGTTGATGTTTCTCTCTCCCCACCACCACCACCCCTTTCACTCTCTCTAAAAAATCACTGGAAAAAATATCCTTGGGTAAGGATTAACAACAACAAAAATAAAAGCATTTATTTGTCTATCACTGAAAATGTTTCTTCTTTTTAAAAAATTTTGTTCTCTTCTGATACCTCTGCTCTATCTTTCTAGAACTTATACTTGTTGGATATGAGACTTCGTGAATCAGTTCTCCATGTCTTAACTTTTTTCTCATATTTTTTATCTCCTTGATTTTATTATTCTACATTTGTAGAGATTTCCCTAACTTTACCTTCCAACTCCTCTACTGATTTTATCGATTATAATTTTCCAGAGCTATTTTCTTTACATTCATTTATCACAACAAAACACTTGTTTTTTGGTTGCGAAAAATCCTGTATTTCTTTTGGAGAGTGTGTGTTAAGCTTCCTGTGTTTCTTAAATTATTTTTGGGTCTTATTCAGTTGGTCTTTTTCTTTAATCTTGAATTTCTTCCTTTTAAGTTATAGGTATTTAATCAAATACCTTATGATCTTTGGTGATTATATGATCACCATTATATGATCTTATGATCTTATAATTTGAAATGGGAAGGCTGACTGGAAATTTTATGCTCTCAGCAGAGCTTAACAACTACCAGGAGGTTTTTTAGGAGGACAGCAGACAGGAAGGAGGCTGTTACTCCAACCCACTTATATTCTAAATGTCAAAATGCAAAGAGCTTTATTGTCAGCAACAAATGCTACACTAGCCAACGAGTTTTCCATCTTGTTTTTCAGTTTCCTTAGAGAACCCCCACCCACTCAGCCCTGTTCCTTGTTTTTCTCAGGGTGGAGGTGGCAGTTGGTAAATGACTAGTTGCCTGTCACTTGGGGGACAGTGTGTGTGGGGGGGCGCATAGACTATTATATAACTCCCTTTGTTTTCTTTTTTTGGTTAATCCTCACATGAGGATATTTTTTCCATTGATTTTTTTGTTTTTAAGAGAGAAAGGAAGGGAAGGAGGGAAGTGGGGTGGGGGGAGAGAGAAACATAAATGTGAGAAAGACACATCAACTGGTTGCCTCCCACACATGCCCAGACCTGGTATGTGTCCTTGACCAGGAATCAAACTCGTGACCCTTTGGTGCGCAGGCCTACACTCTAACCACTGAGCAACACAGGCCAGGGCTAATCCCTTTGTTTTTAACACCACCAATTTCCACTCTTTATGCCCCATTTTAACTTCTTCCTTCTTATTGATTTAATCTATGTGAGCTCTTCCTCTGTATTCTAGAACAGCTTTTCAAGTGTGTCAACTGATTAGATTTTTATGGGGTACTAGATTTGATTTCTCTTTTTAAATTCAAATTTTAATTCTACTAATAATTTTGAGACTTATTACAATCTCTCCTTGTATGTCATCCATCTCCCTTTTTAATTTGCTTGCTTTACCTACCATATCTCATTTCTCTTTTTACAAACTCCATTCTTAAAAAATACAAGAGGTATTTTTCTCAATTTTTATTTTACTTCCTGCAGAAATCTTTTTTAAAAACATGCTGATCTGTCCTTACATCTAATATGCTATGGTCTCTTTCTTATATTTGTTGAATCTTTTCATAAATCTTATTCTACTTTTCAATACAAAGACCTCATATTTGCCCATAAAAAAGGTGAATAAACACTCGCTATATGGTTACCCTCGTTATTCAGAAGTCTGCTATTAGAATCCTCCCCTTGGGGAGCTAGCTGATGTAAATTTATATTACCAGGTCACAGTTCCAGCAGCTGGAGAAAAAGAAGAAAGAACTGGGAGGCAGGGAAAGCCCTAGCAGAGGAACTTCCCTGTACTACTTCCCAGGCAGAGCTCTCTACAACCATGACTGAGTTTGGCCCAGCCTAAATACCAAGTGAATGCTATGTGCATCCAGGCTTCCCTTCTCATGCTGGCATCTACCTCTACCACATCAGGAACAAAACAGCCTCTGAATTAATAACTTTTTTCTGGGTATAGCATGCAATAAAACAGAAGTTAAAAAAAAAATTAAGTTATAAATATCTGTAGTTCTCCTTCTCTTTGTCTTTAAAGGAGGCAAGAACCTGTCAGTCCTTTGACATGTGAATTAGAGTGCAGTAGAGAGTATAATGGCAGAGCTGATCCATAGGCCAAACTGCTCCATGCCTTAAAGGGCTGGGAAGGACAGGGTAAGGAAGAGAACTGAGAGTGGGGGTTGTAGTGGGGAATGAGATGGAGAGAATGACAATTAGCAGCTACAGAGAAGAGCAAGACCTGAGAAAGGGGTCTTGAGATACTTTTCTACCTCCCCTACCCCTCCTGTGACCCACCTCCCCTGCTCTTACTATATGAAGTGTGCTGTTTCCTCCTCATTGCACATCCCACCCCCTAAGAGCACTACCCTACAGTAAAGATCTACACTGCCTAGTAAAAGTTTTCTGGAAGGGGATTTTACTCCTTTGGGCTGTGACTTCATGGTGTGATGTTGCTTATAGCAGGAATCAGAGGGCTGCTTCATTTGGGCTGCATGAATCATGCAGCCTCCTAGTACACTGCTTTCTAATGCTAATCCGGCAGCAGCCCAGGCTCTGAAGCCAGACTCTCTGGACTGACCCCAACCCTACTGTTCTGTGATTTGGGGAAGTTCATTTAACCTCTCTGTAAAATACGGATGGTAACAGTACCTACTTCTGAGGGTTACTGTAAGAATTAAAGTCAATTCACATAAAGTGCTTAGGATAGTGGCTGGCATATAGAAGGCACTCTATAAATGCCCAGTTTATATAATTAATTAACAATATTATTATTATTGCTAAAAATGTTAAAGTTTCTCTACTTTCTCTCCTATGGCCTGCCTCCATTCCAGCCCTTATTGTTCTAAATTAGAGAGCATTACTTCCTATCAGGGCAGGCCCTACACACAGCCTGTTGATGCTCTGCAACTTGTGGTCAACGTGAGAATACTATGGTTTTGGAGCAGGAAAAGTGGAGTCCAGTGGTATGCTTCTCTTCAGCATTTCCCTATAGACCACGCTCCTCCACATTACAGATTCCGCCAGAATCCATTCATTTCCTAGGGACGCTGCTACTTCTCAGGGGGTTAAGAATTAACCCTGGGCCTTGCTTCCAAAGGTCCCACTTACTCTATCCCTAATAGTATGCCTCCCTCTCCCTGGTATCCTGTGTTAGAAGTAGGTCATCTTAGTGGGGGGAACCTTGAGAGGCAAGTGAATGCCTAAGGTGATGCTACTAACTTAACAGGCCATCCTCCCTAATGAGTATTCTGGATGACCTCCTCTCCCAGACTCACTCATTAATCCACTTACAAAATATTAATTTGTCATCTTCTAGATACAAAGAATACTAAAATAAAAGATGCTGTTCTTATGAGAAGAGCTAACCCTTTTATTTCTTTAATGTACAACACTTAGACAAAAATTTGCACTGTCCCTTTCATTGCTCTTGAATAGTTCTCCAATTATATGAACTTCTGAGAAACAAACAACAAAAAGACTCTGCTTTTGTTCTCAAGGAGCTTTCAGTTCAGAGACCAGGAGTAGGTAGTTTAGTGGGTGAGAGGCGGTATATAACAAATGTGTGATAACATAGGATGATAAATACTGTAAGAGGAGTCAGCCTAGGAAGCTATAGGAGTAGACTGGAGAACAGTGAACTCAAAATGGAGAATGGAGAGGAAGGAGGACAGAAGAACTCCAAAAAAAAAGAACACAGGGACTCAGTTTGGGAACTAGCCTTAAACAGCAACTATTTTCCATTTCAATCTTTTAACTTGCTTCATGCCTTTGGGAGGTCACTGACAGTTTTTCAGAGTATTATAATGCTGCACGCTCACATTGTGTGCCCTTCATAAAAACCAGGCATACTACTTTTTATACATACCTCATATTTCATGGTAAAAAATCCATCTCCTCCAATACCCTCAAGTGCAAAGGCCTGTACAATTGGCCATTTCTCCACTACAAACATATCAAATATCTGCAAGTGACCTAGAGGAATAAAATACAACAACATGTATCAAATACCATCCTGGATGTAACAGTCTAAACCTGATCTAAGGTGGTTAGACAGGCATCATTTCTCACAAGTTCACCACAGCCTCGTCTAGCAAAATAAAATTGAAATAGATAAAATGGTTAGGTATTAAAACTAGAAATACAAAGTGAAAGCCAAGGAAATTCAAACCATAAACAAGTTACATAAATTCAGATTTCTCTATAGTATATTTTTACATTCTGGTTTTCTAAGCAAGCAAGCAAATAAATAAATTACATCTGACTTGCATCAGTTAGTGGATATAATTATTAACAGACCCAAACTTGGCTCCTCTCCCTTAAGAAACATATCCTAACAACATCCTCAAGGGAAAATTACCAAATCAAAAATGTTCCTTTCTTATAACAATATCTTCAATGTGCAAGGTTTTGTTGTAAAATAAGATATAAGCACTGTTAAACTTGTTAATTCCCCCCCCATATTTTTACCCATCGTTTTTGAGCCTCACCGTCAGCATATTTTTAACAGCTACCTGATAACTATTTCTTATTACGAAGAGATCCCACATCTACACTCTACATACAATAGGGGGTACAGACTAGATGACAACTGTGTAAATGACCTATCAGTTTTTCTATCTGACTGTAGGTGGCCTGCTTTGTTGCTGCATAAACTTCAGTTATGAATACAAGCTTGCATAGGAAAGTTCCCAAATTCCTTTCTGCTTCAGCCTCTGACTTTTGTGAAAATAGATCAATGGGTTTCCCAGCTGAATGCCCCCAATGAAAGGAGAAGTAGAGACGTGTGATTCACATACCATCCAAGCAAGGTTAAAATGGCTCACTGCCAGACACTCACCTTGGGAGCTATAAGGAATGCCAATTCTACTACAGTCTCGAACCATGTCCACAAAGCTGGAAATTTTAAATTCTTCTGCAGCTTCCTCATCTTCATACTAAAGAGGGAAATTGAAAGGAAAATGGGCTCCGACAAGACATCATGCAAAGTCCCATATCTTCTCTGCATTCTATCAGAGTTGCCCCAAATAACATTTATAGAAGACAGTACCCAAGAGGGTGTTTCCAAAGCCACATTTTATGTTTGCTGGTAAAAAATACTGTCATTCCCTTATCTCATACCACACATAAATCAACTCAAAATGGACCAGAGACCTAAATGCAAGAGATAAAACTTGTCCTCAAAAATTCCCCAAATACTCACATGGAAAGAAGGATTATTGACCCATATCAGGTCACAATTTCCATGAAATCCTAAATCTCAAATCCCAATTTGATTCCCAGCCAAACCCTTGAAGTGGGCCCAAAGGGAAACAGAAACATATACCAAGAAATCCAAACACGGAAATGTCAAAAGCTTATCCAATTCCCCTGGAGCAGTATGTAGGCACTAGCCCCCTGAGAGAATGTATGCAGGCTGGTGATGAAGCAAGGCAGGAAGGCAGGTTCACAAGCCTACACTAGGCCCCAATTTGAAAAGCCCCTTCTGTCTCCTTCAGGCATACAATTATAGCCACATCATGCAATATGAAAAGTTCCACTAAAACAAATAAACTTTTTTGTGTAATCACATTCTGCAATTTCACTTTTTAGGGGACTCCTGTTTCAGATCTACATTTTCCTGAAAAAATATTCTTAGAGTGTCTCTAAGTGCCTATTCTATCTTTTCTCCTCACCTCATTTTCGGTCATGCAGTGGAAATGCAGATTTCTCCAATGTGCCACACAGGGTAAGAGATAGTGATAGTTTACAGGATTACAGTACAGATGTACACTGTCTGATTTAATCAATATAATTATATCTGTAAGAAAACCAAAATTAAGACACAAGATTGTCAAAGGCGTTTTCTTTAGACAATTTCTGCCCACATAGTTAGTAAAACCATTAAAATGACTTTAGACACAATGTAATAAAACTCTAAACTGACAATTCTTTAATTAGGCAATGTACTTCAAAATGATGAAGAAAAGTCAAGTGTGGACAGTAAGGAATTCCTCATCCTCATGTGATGCTCCCATCACCGTAGCCCTCTAGTGATGGTGAAGCAGGTACAGGGTAAGTAAAAAGAACAGCCTTCTGGGTTCAAAAGTGCAGCATAGTTGAATCTCTGGTACCAAACTCAGCTGTGTACTTCACTGGAGAGATAAATTCCAAATGGAAACTTCACAGCCTAAAGCAAGTGAGGCAGGAAAATAGCATGGAATATGGCCAGTGACTAGTTCTCCTGCAGACATCAGTGTCTAAAGCTCTTGGCTGCTGGCTCATCGGGCTCAAGGGACATTGCCTGTTAGCTTTGGGAAGGGTTATTGTGTACAGGGGTGAACTCTGTACACAGGAAAGGCTGGGAGGAAGGAAGTAGAGGCAGGTGGACAAGGCTTCTATAAATAGATCAGCAGCTCACAGGTTTTAGGAATAATCACCCAGGGGTGGGTCAAATAAATAAAGCAATCCCAAGAATGCAAATAAACTCAGATAAACTAAAAGAAGAGCCATGGAACAGAGCAGGTCTATTAAAGCAGTCTGAATACTGAGAAATAAAGCAGTCATACTTCCAAAACAAAAGGAGAGGCTCCATTCCATGGCTCCTCAGAAAGCAGAGCATTAACAAGATGACACTAGGGAAGCTGCTGGAGGAGGTGGCTGAGGCAGCAGGTTTAGGGCAATGCCAACATAGTAATACAGTGTGGCAGACCATAATCTACAAAACATAAGCCTGATGAATACTGACTGCAGCTGACCACACGGCTGGGTGGCCTCTTCAAATAAAGCTCCATGATGGTGGGCTTTTAAGTCACTCTGAGCTACACACCTGGTCAGACTCAAGGTGTTCTAGGGAACACAGTATGGAGCAGTTTCTTCACTGTTTACTGTCAGGTGAGCCCTGGAGTCCAAAGGTGGCAAGGGGTAGGAAAGGGGCCTCCTCTCATCTGCTGGTTTTCCTCCCGTGGGCCCTCTAAAAGAGCCCTGCCCTGAATCACTTGCAGATCGCCTGCTGAGGAGTGAAGAGTTTAATGTCACTTAGAGAGCCTGAGGCTTCCTGTATAGAATATACTGATGTGTGACATACCATATATTCAACTAAAAAAATATTGCAATAGCTACTAAACCTAATTAAGCATTCTCAGGTTTTCTTAGGGCTGACATCATCACTGTAAACATTTAACAGAGTACACATCAGGTAAAAGAAGCAAGCATAGCCCTGGCCGGTGTGGCTCAGTGGATAAAGTGTTGGTCCACGCACCAAAGGGTCTCAGATTTGATTCCCAGTCAAAGGTACATGCCTGGGTTGCAGGTTCTATCCCTGGCCCCAGTTGGGCACGTGTGGGAGGCAACTGGTTGATGAGATGTTTCTCTCTGACTCTCTCTCCCTCCTTTTGTCCCTTTCACTCTCTAAAAATCAATGGAAAAAATGTCCTCAGGTGAGGATTAACAACAACAAAAAAGGCAAATGTAAGAGAATGGGATAAAGACGTAAACTATTTTAAAAGTTTCTTTTTAAAATAAATCCTTTGTGTTGGCCTCTTTTCCTCTCATATAATTAGAGACCAGAAATGTAGAAGCATAAATCTGGTATCTCAGCTTTCCAACTATTTGAATTTAGAAGATAAACTTATTACTTTTGAAGAAAATGCTCATTTCATAAGTACCCACTGTGCTAGGTGACAGAATTGACAAAACAAAAAAAAAGAAAAGAAAAAGAAAAAAAAGGACACCTTTGAGGATTTAAACTATTTCCTTAATATCAGTACCACAATGTCCTTAGCAACCTTGGTTGAAGTGAAATGTGTGGATGGTACGAGCATCTGTCCTTTTATAACCTTCTAAATGAGCTGCCAAGATGAATTCTTTCCAAACCAGTAGATGCTGTACAGTGTAAGGAAATACTTTTTTTAAATGAAAACCTGAAACTAAATTTGAATTGAAAAAATTTAATGGAAGGAATAATTTCAGCCTCTTTCTGCACTTTAGAATAAGAACAAAATCTTTAATCAATCCATAAGGATAGATACTATTAAGGACTTTAGTACAAAAGAATTTTCACATATAGACCAGGGTTTCTCAGCCGCAGCACTACTGCCAGTTTGGACCAGATCATTCTTTGTTGTGGGGGGCTGTACTGTGCCTTGTAGGATGTTTAGTAGCATCCCTGGCCTCTATCCACTCTGCCTAGTTGTGACAATCAAAAATATCTTCAAATATTGGCAAATGTCCCCTGGGGGATAAAATAACCCCAGTTGAGAACCACTGTACTAGGTCCATACAGCAAGATTGTATCAACATCAGATGTTTGCTTTCATGTGTCCCCCAGCTGCTTCCCAAGAGTTTTCTGTCTCTTGTCCAATTTGATTTGTCTATTCCCGTGTCTCCTGACCCGTCAGGCAGACAAGTCATGATGCTAAGTATGTGATATCAGAGATAGCTCCTGGGCATCAGCCCACAGCAGCATCAACACAGGGTGAGTGTCTCAGAGCTGAGGAAAGGGGAATGTAAGCAGAAAGCCTTCATTGTAGTCACGGGCATCGTCATGAATTAAAGTCACACAGGAAACAATTCCCAAAGACAGAGCAGGACAAAGAGCCTTTGTTCCTAAGCTGAAGATCCACAAGAAGTCTTCCTTGTAGGAGTATCCTGCAGGCCCATCTTTGACTCACAGCTGAAAGTGCTTTCACTGGACAATGCACATAATCTGAACCTCCCAGCATGTCAATGCAGTAGGCAATTCAAAGGAAAACTAGTACCCTGTCAAGAAGATATAAAGCCAAACACTGATGTTTACTTTTTTCTCTAAAGCTGATTTACCCAGTAAATGTATTCTGAAAACTACTTGTTGCTAGTCTCTTATCATCCAGCAGATAACCTGCAAGAGCATATTCCTTAATATATCAGCAAAGAAGAAATGTTTTTTATTATTTTTAAAATGTAACAATTTATTGGGGCTTCAGGCTATTTTAAATTTGATTATGTTTCTATAAAAAGACCATGAAATAAGTATCTGAAGAAATAAATTGCCTATTACTTTCACACAGAATTTACCAATATATACTTACCATCTAGAACTTCTTCAGAAAACCCCGTTTTCTCAAAATCACTGGTATTCTGATTGTACAAACCAAACAGAAGATAATTTGCAAGCTCTCTGCAGCCTTCATTGTACCTGCTATCAATTCCTGCAAGGCAAAGGCGGCTCTGATCAGCTGTACTATGGGAAGCAAATGAGCCCCAATAGTTTGTCCCTGCTCAGCAAAACCTTGATAGTTAAAGAAAAGGCAACACCTTAGAACAGTTTTGTACCAGAAACCAAACTAAGTAACTCTCTGTGAAAGCAGGTTCAGCATCAAGTACCCTTACTTGGATTCAAGAGACAGTTAAACAGTACAGATTATTGAAACTGTTAATTGGCAAAAAGCAATTCTTGAGGATAGAAGAAACCAGAAAATATAATTCAAGTCCTGTCATGGCTGGTTAAAGATTTCGGAATATTTTCAGTTGGAATAGGAATAGGTGTCAGGAAAACATTCACTTCTCAAGAAGACCTTTACCAAAACATATGGGATCAAATAAGAGAGAATTAAGGTAAGGTTTGAAACAAACTCAAAGAAGTGAAGAAGAGGACAAGTGACTGGAACCACACACATCCATCATTTCACAAATATTTATTCAGCCCAAGGCACTGTGCTGGATACTGGAGTGTGTGCTGGGCTACAAATGGCCCTCATGAAATTTATAGTCCAGTGGGGCTGGGTCAGAGATAACTAAAAAAAAAATGAAGTAACAACTGCCTTCACTACTGCCTTTCAGTGCCAAAGACACATATACTACCTGGTTCTTGGGTACTTGTGAAGGCCCAGAGCTATGGCCTGAAGGTTTATTAACTTTTTACCTCCATTTTCACAACCAACCTCCAACACATCAATTTCTGCAACACTGTAGTAGTATTCTATATTCAAGTAGTCAATCTTGAATTTTAAAAACTCTAAGATAATGTGGTCAACTGAAAAATTTAAAAATTAGGTTAACAACAATATGCACAAAATGTTCCCATTTGTACAGTTGACAATGTTATCTCTGGGGAGTGGGACTGGGTATCTGGGATGGTTAGGAAGCTCTGTTCATTATTACTCATGTATTGTCTTAATTTTTAAAATATATGATGCATTTTCACAATAAAAAATTTAAAGAACAATTAAATGCCCAATCCTGCCACTCTATAGCCCTGAGCAAGTCTGTTTAATCTCCAGAATCTCAGTTTCCTCTTCTGTAAAAAAAGGGACAACACTGTTCCCTTACAAGGCTGCTGTGAGGAGAAATGAGGTAATATGTACAAAGTGCCTGCTCTGTGGTAGGTGCTCCTTATCTTACTGATATCTCACCCAACCTCATTGAAATGCAACCAATTTCAGGGGAACAAAATGGGGGGATACTAACCCACAGCTTATCTCACAATGATACTATTATCAGTATCTTCCTGTGAACAGAAGCCAAGTTGCCCCAGCCCTGAGTCCCACCTTGTTAAAAGCACTTACCTAGAATGCAGAGGATCCCGTCCGGTCTAGACTTACTGCTCTGGGTCAGGATACTCTGAACCTGGCGGAGTCGGCTACAGCTGTAACAGGAACAGAAATCAGCTCCCTGACTACCAGCACATAAAGGCATGAGGAGGAATGACTGCTAGGGATGGAAACTGGTCCTTGTCTGGCTTTGGTATCAGAACCACAAAATGGATTGGGAAATGTTCCCTTTTCTTCTATTTTCCAGAAGTGATTATGTAGAATTGGTTAGAAGACTAAGTCTGAACTGCTGATTACAAACTGGATGGTCAGTGGCTCTCTGGCTCAACAGAGGATGGAGGCCAGTGGCCCTCTCATGGTCAATGCTGGACAACACTGGGACTCAACAGCTTAGCAGAAGGACCTCCAATGATTTCTCATTTTTCAGGATGATCGAAGAGTTTCCACACTGATTTGCCCTAACTGTGGCCCTCACCAGTCTGTCAAAAACAAAAAACCAAATAGATAAAAACAAAAAAAATCACTGGTGTAAGGACCTAAACCAAGCTCTGATTCACCATCACAACTCTGCCCACAGAGAGTGTCAGCACTGGATAACTGCTCCAGTGTTGGCGCAGATCTGTTATTCCTTTAGCCTCAGGAATATCCCCTTCCTCCTAAACGAAGTACAAGGAAAGGCACTCCCAGACATTAATATGGCTTCTAAGGGCCCATGCTCTCCATTCTGACCCCTCCTCCTTCCCAGCAGTCCCAGAGAGAGGTACTCAATTTCCTGCTCAAGACTGATTCTTCTACTGGGTCTCTCCCCCCACCCCATCATCTCCAGGTTCAGGATTTACTTCCACTATTCATTCCCTAACACTGTTATAATTAATTTTTTTCCCTATAGTCAATACATTTCCAGCCCTATCATGTCATTATTAGCTAAGATTCTCCACAAGCCAGCTACACTAACTGTTCTGTCCATGACAATCAGACTGCAATCCCAATCCTCACTGAATCTGCTCCGGTACACTACCCTACTCTTATCCAAGCCACAATATTTCCAGCCAACAACACTAATTCCCTTCTCTGGATTCCTTTTCTCCCCTGGATTTTTTCTGATATTCCCACGGCCCAAGTCATTCACTCCATGTCTTCCCTCAAGATCTTCACAATCTTCCATGTAATACCAAAACCAGACAAAGACATTTCCAAAATAAACAAAAAATCCAACAGACCAATATCTATCATGAATATAGATGTAAAAACATTAATAAAATATTAGCAAGTAGAACTCAAAAACATACAAAAAGAATTACAGCAGGACCTCAAATAACATTGTTATAACATTGATAAAAACAAAAAAAAAAATCAATTCCCAGCCAGGGCCACTGTATGTGTGGCATTTGCATGTCCTCCCCACGTCTGTGTGGGTTTTCTCCAGGTACTCTGGTTTCCTCTCACATCCCAAACATGTGCACATTAGGTGAATTGGTGTGTCTAATTTGTCCCAGTCTGAGTGAGTATGGGGGTGTGTGTGTGCATGAGTGCACCCTGATATGGAAGGGCATCTTGTTTAGGGTTGGTACCTGCCTTGTACCTGAGCTGTCAGGAGAGGTTCCAGCTACCTGCAACCCTGGACTGGAATAAGTGGGTTGGAAAAGAATTACCTTACTTGTTTATATTAACCTTTCTTAAATGTATGTATAGCTCACATTTCTTTCAATGTTTAATATTAGAAGTATTTCAGGTCTTTATAAGTTTATAGTGGTTTTTATGACCAGCAATACACCAAAGGAACTTAACTCTTGTTTTTATCAATTAGCCTACGGTAAAATTAATTTTGTTATACACCGTTTTCCGTAAAGTCACAGTTTCCAAGAACCCACCACTGATGTTAAGTGAGAATTTACTCTATACATCATGACCAAGAGGGGGTTCATATGGGTAAAACAATCAATGTAATCCATCACACTGACAGGCTAAAGAAGAAAAAAGCCTCACACAAGCATATAACTGATACAGAAAAATCATTTGACAAAATTTAATACCCATTCACAATAAAAACACTTAGAAAACTAGGAATAGACACGTTTCCTCGACTTGATAAAGTTTATCTACAAAAACCTTCAAAGCAAAGTTTCACATTATACTTAATGGTGAGACTACAAGTTTTTCCTCTAATATAAGAAACAAGAAAAGGATGTCTGCTCTCACCACTCCTATTCAACAGAATACTAGAAGTTCTAGCCAATGCAGTAAGGCAAGAAAATAAAATAAAAGGCATACAGATTGAAAATGAAGTAGGAAATCTCACAAAATCTATAAAAAACTAGAATTCATAAATGAATTCAACAAGTTTGCAAGATCAATATATAAAAATCAACTGTACTTTTTAAAATATGTTTTTATTGATTTCAGAGAGAGGAGGGGAGAGGGGGAGAGAGATACAAATATCAATGATGAGGCAGAGTCATTGATCAGCTGCCTCCTGCATGCCCCCTACTGGGGATCAAGCCTGCAACCCGGGCATGTGCCCTGACCAGAATTGAACCACAATTTCCTGGATCATAGGTTGATGCTCAACTGCTGAGTTACACCAGCCGGGCCTCAATTGTATTACTATATAAAAGCAATGAACACATGGAAACCAAAATTAAAAGTACAATATTATTTAACCATAAATCTAACAAAACATGCGTAAGACTTATACACTAAAAACTACAAAACACTGATAAAGGAAATCAAAGAATTTTAAGTAAATGGAGAGACATAATGTGTCCATGGATTGGAAAATTCAACATAGTGTAGATGTCCATTCTGCCCAAATTGATATACAGGTATAACACAACTCCTTTCAAAATCCCAGCAAGATTTTTTGTAGATATAGACAAAATAACTCTAAAACTTATGTGAAAAGGCAAAAGAACTAAAATAGCTAAAACAATTTTGGAAAAAAAGAACGAAGTGGGAGAAATCATTTTACATGATGTCAAGACTTAGACAGCTAAAGTAATCAAGACTGAGTGGTTGAGAGACAGACATATAGATCAATGGAACAGTACAGAGTAGCCATAAATAGGGCCACACAAATACAGCCAATTAATTTGGGGCAAAGGTTCAAAAGGAATTCAATGAAAGGATAGTCCTTTCAATAAATGGTGTTGGAGCAATTGGATATCCATAAACAAAAACATGAACCTCAACCTAAACCATACACCTTACACAAAAATTAACTCAAAACAGATCGTACATTTAAATTTTTTAAATGTAAAAATATAAAATCTTTAGAAGAAAACAAAAGAAAATATTTAGGACTTGATGCTTGATGTTCTTTCTTAGACTTAATACCAAAAATATGATCCATAAAAGAAAAATATGATAAATTAAACTTCATCAAAATTTTAAACTTTGCTTTGTGAAAGACCCTGTTGAGAGAATGAAAAGACAAGCTACAGATTGAGAGAACATATTTGCAAATCATATATTTGACAAAGTAGAATACATAAATTAAGAACTCTCAAAACTCAACAGTAAAAAACAAACAATACAATTAGAAAATGGGCAGAAGCATGAAGAAACATTTCTTCAAAGAGGATGCAGAGATGTCACATGAAAATGTGTTCAACATCATTATCCATTAGGGAAATTCAAATTAAAAACAGAAAGAGATACTACTACACATCTATTAGAAAAGCTAAAATAACAAACAATGACAATACCAAAATGCTGGTGAGGATTCAGAGAAACTGGATCACTAATACAATTCTTAAAGAACTTAATGAAGATAGCAATTATGGAAATACATCTGTGTTCATGAATAGGAAGACTTAATATCATTAAGCTGTCATTACTACACAAAGAAATCTATAGCAATCCCTATCAAAATCCTAACAACAGTTCTGCAGAAATAGAAAAATCCATCCTAAAATTCATATGAACACTCAAGAAACCCAGAATAGCCAAACAATATTGAAAAAGAAGGACAAAGCTGGAGGACATACTTCCTAATTTCAAAAGTTACTACAAAGCTACAGTAATCAAAGCAGCTCTAACCGGTATGGCTCAGTGGGTTAGATCATCCTCCTGAACACCGAAAGGTTTCGGGTTCAATTCCAGATCAGGGCACATACCTAGGTTACTGGGTCAATCCCTAGGCAGGGCGCATCCAGGAGGCAACCAATCGATGTTTCTCTCTCACATCAATGTTCCTCTCTCTCTCTTTCTTTCTCTCTCTCCCTCCCTTCCCCTCTTTCTGAAATCAATAAACATATCCTCAGATAAAGATTAAAAAATAAAGTTGTGTGGTACTCGAAATTTTGACAAGGGTACCAAGACCATTAATTGAGAAAGGACAGTTTTTTCTAAGAAATTGTTTTGATTGTGTTATACCTTACACCATATACAAAATTTAAAATAGAATAAAGAGCCCAGCTGGGCATGGCTCAGGGGTTGAGCATTGACCTAGGATCCAGGAGATCACGGTTTGATTCCCGGTCAGGGGATATGTCCGGGTTGTGGGCTCGATCCCCAGTCGGGAGTGTGCAGGAGGCAGCCAATCAATGACTCTCTCATCATTGATGCTTCTCTCTCTCTCTCTCTCTCCCTCTCCCTTCCTCTCTCTGAAACCAATAAAGATATATATTTTAAAAAACAGAATAAAGAGCCCTGACCAGTGTGGCTCAGTTGGATGAGCATCATCCCATTCACCAAAAGGCCGAAGGTTCAATTCCTACTGAGGACACATGCCTGCGATGCAGGATCGTAGAGGGTGCAGGGAGACAGCCGATCAATGCTTCTCTCTCACATCAATGTTTCTCTCTCTTTCTCTCCCTCTCCCTCTCCCTTCCCATCTCTCTAAAAGTAATAAAAAATTAAAAAAAAAAAATAAAGACCTAAATGTAAACCTAAAATCATAAAACTTTTACAAGAAAACATACGAAAAGCTTCATGACATTGGATTTGGCAATGATTTCTGGCTATGACACCAAAAGCACAGATAACACGAAAAATATATAAATCAGACTTCATCAAAATTAAAAAATTATGGTCATCAAAGGGCACAATTAACAGAATGAAAAGGCAACCCAAAGAATAGGAGAAAATATTTGCA